CGTGATGTTGACGGCACATGCGGGCAGGAAGGTGCTCTGTTGTGTTGGAGTGCTGTTACTGCACTGTCTCAGTATCTCTTCTATCCATTCACTCTCTCATACTGTTACTGAAACTTTAGTCAAGTTTCTGTGCGTCACCTGTGTGCTGCTTTTTTTTCTGTCTGCTACTGAAGGCCAAGTTCAAAGAAGGAGACAAACAGGATGACTTTTAAGATGTATAATTATTATTAGCTGTATATTATACAGTATATATCACCTGTATTGCATTGGTTGAGTAATTTGTCAGTGTTTTGCATGTCTTTGGCAAGCCCAAATGGATCTGAAATTATTGTCAGGAAGGTTTCTGAAATTATACAAATACATGCACTAACATTGAAAAGTTTGTGGTTAGTAAGATGTTTTTATTATTATATATTTTTTTACTTTCCATTCATCAAAGAATACAGAGAATCTATCATTGTTTCCACAAAAATATAGAGTATTTTTTTCAACATTGATCATTATAAGAAATGTTTCTTGAGCACCAAATCAACATAATAGAATGTTTTCATAAGGATCATGTGCATTTTAAAATTATATTAAAATAAAAAACTGTTTTAAATTGGAATATTTCACCAAATTAGTATTTGTACTGTATTTTTGATCAAATAAAAGCATGAAACTTTTACCAATACAGACCAAACTTTTGAATGTTAGTGTACTTTTTGCCGCTTATCAAATTTCATTAAGCTTTCAGGAACTGATTTTAATACACGTTTTATTGTTTTTAATCCATCCCACCTTTTTTCTCCCCTTTAATCAGCTTAGAAAATATGGAAAAAGTCGGTCTGGGCTTATCTTAAGGTTGTTATTGCTGTATTGTGACTTTGTATGTATTGTTAATCTATTATCTAGACCATTCCTTTCTTAAATCTTTATCCATTTATCATGAATTTATACATGTTTTATCTCTGTTAAATGGTTATGTGTGTGACCTTCCTCTTAATGCTGTGGTTTTAGTGCTGTGTTAGTGCTCATGTGAAATTTGTCTGCTTCAACTTGGAGCATGATCATCATGTACAGATACTAATTTACAACACCCCTGTTGTTTCTGTACCCGATTTCTTTCTTCTCGCTCGACCCGTCTCTCTTAGGAGCAAGAGTTTCTTCAGAGGCAGCAGCAGGAGCTGGATGGCGCTCTGAAGAAGATCATCCAGCAGCACAAACTAGAGATTGCCACTATAGAGAGAGACTGTCTCAACCACAAGCAGCAGCTCATGAGAGGTCAGACACTCTTTACAAAGAGGCCTCATTATTAATAATAATGAAAAGTCATTTTAATTTTTTCATCAGTATATTTTCATATCGTTGCACAAACTTGCTGAATAAAAACATTATCTTTCTCTCACAAAGATCTTACTGTCCCTAAACAGTAGTGTATATGTATACTTATAATTGAATAGAGAGAGAGAGAGCGCTCTGTTAATATTCTTACCTTAATAATAATAATAATAGAAAGCATTTTAAAGCATTCAGTTTGTTGTTGTTTTTTTGGAGTCAGCATTTTGGTTTACTTGCAGTATATTCTCAAATAGTTCACATCAAACTTCATTGAGTGATTTTATGAGAAAGAATACAGTAGACTTTTGTGGTTCTGTTCAATATAAATAAATCCACTGCACATATTTGTTATATATTCATCTAGGTCACGCTTTCAACTCCAACCACAATGGAAACACGTTATCTGCTTCTACTGACAGTAAAGCTGAAATAGAGCTAAACTTTATTTTCAGACAGGGGGCCAATTATAAAGGCCAGCCGTGTGCCTCTTGAGGTGTGGCCCAGATCTCATTTGATTAGATGTGTGTGTGAAAAGTGTCCCATGCAGACTGTTTTGAGATTTGCTGTCTATGATGTGTAATGAACTGTGACTTTGTGTCTGCAAACATGTTTAAACATGCATGGAGTCAAGTGGTCTGATTCTAACGGCTGAGAATTGCTCTATTTCCTCTCTTCTTTGGCTCACGAACCAACAGCTCGGGAGGCAGCCATGTGGGAGCTGGAGGAGCGCCACCTGCAGGAGAAACACCAGTTGCTGAAGCAGCAGCTGAAGGATCAATACTTCATGCAGAGACATCAGCTCCTCAAGAGGCATGACAAGGTGAGACCTGGCTGTCCATTTATGCAACAAATCAAATACTGCCGTGTTTTGTAGCCACTTTGACTGTTTATTTCGTACTTGGCTGGTCATCAGGAGATGGAGCAGATGCAGGGTTATAACCAGCGGCTGATTGAGGAGATGAAGAACAGGCAGACACAGGAAAGAGCTCGGCTGCCAAAGATCCAGCGCAGTGAAGCGAAGACGCGCATGGCAATGTTTAAAAAGAGCCTGCGGATCACCGGCACAGGAACACCAGAGCAGGACAGAGAGAAGATCAAACAGGTCAGACCTCTTATCAGGAAGAGCTTTGTCAAGATCAGAGGAATCAGGCTCGTTTAGTCTTTTTCAAACCTTTTTCGACTTTATTTTCGAGCAGTTTGCTGCTCAAGAGGACAAGAGACAGAAGAATGAGAGACTTCATCAGCATCAGAAACATGAGAACCAGATGAGAGACTTGCAGCTGCAGTGTGACTCCAACATCAGAGAACTTCAACAGATGCAGGTCTGTAACACTCAGACATGCATTCCTTCCGTCTTCCTCTTTCCTTTGTGCCTGCGTTTTTGATTGCATTTATGCTCTGCTCTGTTGAGTCATTAAACTAGTTGCCCTCTATCTTTGGTTGTAACATCTGGTTCATTGTCTTCAACATCCAACAGAATGAGAAATGCCACCTCCTGATTGAGCATGAGACTCAGAAGCTGAAGGAGTTGGATGAGGAGCACAGTCAGGAGCTGAAAGACTGGAGGGAGAAGCTTCGTCCCAGGAAGAAGGTATTTAGTACATCATTTGCAACTTTATCATTTCAAGTGGATCATGCTGCCCAAAGTTTGGGGGTTTCCAAACAAGCTGTTAAGAAAATATATGAAATCTTATTTAAATTTATTTAATATGATTTTAAAATGTTATATGCACACTACTACTTATTCATGTTTTTTAAATTAATTGTCTTGTTCGCCAAAGCTGCAATTATTCAATAAAAATACAGTGAAAATACATAAGTAATATTGTGAAATATGTTTACAATTTAAACAAATGTTTTCTCTTTGAAGTGATGGAAAAGCTGTTTTTTTTTTTTTTTTTTTTAGCAGTCATTACCCCAGTCTTTAAGTTGGGCTGCTTAATATATTTGTGGAAACTGTGATTAATTCTCTGATGAATAGAAAGGTTCATTAGTTAATGTATTAATTAACATGAACTAAGAAGGAGCAATTTCTTTGTTCCATTATTTATTCATCTTTGTTCATTAATCCAGCTGCTCATTGTTTGTTCATATTAGTTTAGTGTATTAACTAATGTAAACAAATACAACTTTTGTAGATGTTGAAAGTAATATTAACTAAGATTAATAAATGGTGTAGAAGTATTGTTCATTCATAGTTCATTAACTAATGAACCATATTGTAAAGTGTTACCAGAAATCGTATGTTACATGTATAACTGTAAACCTATATACCCTAATATTATCATCAAATCTAAGAAAATCTAGAATAAAGTCTGAGGTCATGGTATTCTGGAATGATAATATGCTATCTGATATATTTTGAGTTGAACTGTTCTTTGTAAGTACACAGACTATATGTCTATTTCTCTCCTGCTCTCTCTCTCTCTCTCTCTCAGGCTCTGGAGGAAGAGTTCACACGTAAACTACAAGAACAGGAAGTCTTCTTTAAAATGAGTGGAGAGTCTGAATGCCTCAACCCCACCGCCCAGAGCAGAGTCTCTAAATTCTACCCTATTCCCAGTGTCCACTCCTCCGGCTCTTAACCTTCACCACTGAGCTTTATTTAAAGCGAGGAAGTGCTGTTCTACCTTTCAGAGGTATGAAATCAGAATAGATGCATGGGTTTGAAAATGACATTTCTGAGAGTAAGAAAGCTAACAATAATGGACAAATCTAATGCATTACCTTGACATGCTTTTTGCCACATTGAATCCAATGGATTAACATTTTAGTTTTCTCTGTTTTCTTCTGGTCATGTTAATTTGCGCAAATTAACCATGAATACACTCAGGCAATCATGAATCATCTCGTCTTTGTGGAATACATTCATAAAACAGCCTTAATAAGGGTCACTTGATGAAAAGCCCATAAAAAACATATCACAGACAGAAAATTCAACTCAAGTGGTGAGAGATCACATTTAAACACGTGGACACTCGAGTCACTGGTACACGAGCTTCAGTTCTGTTATGGTCTTGTATCAGCTGTTGTATTTTTGTATCCTCCTCTGAGTTTTGCTTATTTGGTTTTTAATGTCCATGCAAAGTTGCTTTTAAAGCGTACTACTCTTTTTAACTTTTACTCTTTGCTTTATATGGTTAAAGATATTTGCAGTCAATGAATGTAACCCATAGGTTGACATTGCACACTTTTAAACAAATTGAACATATGCAGTAGTGATTTTGTGGAGGAAATTGTGCCCAAATATTTGTATACGATGATGTAATTTCTCATTTGGCATGTCACTTTGTGGTCCAGAGTAGCCGAGTTTATTTTTTTATGAGCAAATTAATTTCACGTATTTGAAGGAGAGTTGGGCAGTCTTTGACACCTTGAATGTTTCATATATGGTGGTAAAAAGTTATTTATGGATTTAACTGAAGTTGAACGTTTTTATTGTTAGTTCTTTTTTTCCTCTTTCATCAAAATGTAAGGGGAATGTGAACCTGCACGTTACATTGTTTATTTTAATTTTACTGTACTTTTTATTGAAGGACACATACTTTTGATAGTCAAATGTAGAGCGGATTTTCGATTAGCCCATTACAGTCTGCAAAAGTTTCAGTGTGAAGACATGAACATTTCTCGCTGTTGCTGAGGACTTTTCATCTGATTCAAGCTTTATTTTTGATAACATGTTTTGTGTAAGAAATCACACACCTGTATCTTAGCCATATTATGACATGCTGTGCTCCTATACTTTTTGCATGCTGAAGGAAATCCCAAATGCTGTACTTTACCAGAGACATGATCTCTTTGAACAGGTTTTAAAAGTTGGCATTTGCACAAGCAGGATATTTTTCCAGAGATATCCTGGTGTCATACTGCTGAACGGTGACCTTAACCTCTTGCAGCACTTTGATGGAATATCTGACGCATTTTTGAGGTCAATTTATGTATCAAAACGCTTGTCCATTGATATTCTGTAAATAAAACTCATTGTATTTTCTTTGATTTATTGGTGTTTTTTTTTTTCTAAACATGGTGCAGTTTGGGTTCATATCGGGTAGGCGTAAAATCATACTCTTTGTTAAACAGTGGCCCTTGTAAAGTGAGTCATGTTACATCACATGGTCTATCTCAGCTGCTTGAGATACTTTTTTGTTTGGTGTATCATCCGTAACATTCTGATTTCATTTTTGTGTGTTAATTTTGCATTGCAACAATTGACCATAGACAAATGGATATAATACAAAAAATAAAAAAGAATTAAATCATAAAGGCAATTACAAAGTCCACTATTGGATAAAAGGTACATTTCAAGTGCTAAGTGCAAAATAATGAAAACTAAGACTGTCTTAAATCCGTGTTGGTAAAGCTGAACATTTTGAATGTATGAATTATAATATTGCATGCATTGAATATAAAACTGTATAGTGTGATAAAATAGCAACCAAACAAGCCTCTAAACTGTGCTACTTCATAAGGGGAGGTTAGTTTATGGATTTATCTTCTTAAAGATTTCTTTCCGCTGTCAGTGCATCCACAAAAGTGTGCTGCTGCAATAGCCCTTACACACCAGTGGTCCGTACCCATCTACCAGTCTGGATATCACCTAAAATTCAATATGGAAAGAGATGCATGCCAGAGTGATTGCTAGATCCAGTGGTGCCTTCAAAAATGTCATCATTGATGATTTTTAGATGCTGGTTGATGCAACAATACCTGAATATATTGAATGAATACATTGTATGTATCATCATGCTACAATATACCGGTATGATGAGTGTATTATTCTAACCTTTTTCACCCTTTTCTCCCCTTGGTCCCTCCAGTCCTCTTTGTCCCGGGAGGCCTGGTATCCCTGAGCTCCCCGTGTCCCCTGTAGATCACATACAAACCATAGAGCTTAATATTCACAGCTCTTCACTTCAGTGGTGGAATGTAACGAAGTACAAATACTTTGTTACTTTACTTAAGTACATTTTTCACGTATCTTTACTTTACTTAAGTAGAATAAATAGCACATACTTTTTACTTTTACTTTGTTACATTTTGCAGCAATTATTATACTTTCTACTCCACTACATCTCTACAACTTCTGTTACATTTTCTGATCAGTTTTTCCCCTGCCAAAACGTAATCTGCCCGTCCGTCCATTGCACCTTTGTCTCACCAGTGACGTTTGGATGCCATAGAGCCTCCATTTTTGCACTCAGGTCTAAGTCCCATGGCCCTCTATCAGAATCCAGAGTTTCAAGAAGATTGGAGAAACGTATTTTTTCGCACAAAAGAAAACAACAACAGGGGTAAGTAACACTCGAAATTTTGAGTTTCTCTGATCTTCTTGAAACTCTGGATTCTGATAGAGGGCCATGAGACTTAACCTGAGTGCAAAAATGGAGGCTCTAGACCCTTCCAGGGCTGAGATATGTTAAAGGATGTATAGGCCAAACCAGGTGTTATCAGAATCCCAATTTTAGGGACTGAAGTGGTGTTGGCAGTCAGGTGCTGGAGGAGTGGAGGAATGGATGAGAAGAGGACACAATCAGCGCCAACACGCACTCATCCACATAAACACTGCTGGGCTTATTACACACAGCACTGATCTGGCACTACACTACTGTGTACTAGACCAGACAGCAGGTGCACACGCACAAACACACACACACACATACGCATACACACCACAGTCAGTGTGTGAATCTCAACAAAACCAGATCCTGGTCACACTTCACCCCAAAATATAAGTATGTATAAATATGAGTGCAAAAATGGAGGCTCTAGACCCTTCCAGAGCTGAGATATTGAGATATTTATAATGGCATAAATGCTATGTGGGATCTCAATATCTCAGCTCTGGAAGGGTCTAGAGCCTCCATTTTTGCACTCAAGTCTAAGTCTTGTGGCCCTTTATCAGAATCCAGAGTTTCAAGAGGATCAGAGAAACTCAAAATTTTGACCCGAAAAAAAAAAAACGACAGTGCCACTTTTCGTCTTTTTTTCGGGTTGAAATTTTGAGTTTCGATATCTCAGCTCTGGAAGGGTCTAGAGCCTCCATTTTTGCACTCAGGTCAAAGTCTCACGGCCCTCTATCAGAATCCAGAGTTTTGAGAAGATTGGAGAAAATTAATTTTTCGCTCGAAAATGAAAAAAACGAAAGGGGTAACACTGTCGTTTTTTTTTTCGGGTCGAAATTTTGAATTTCAATATCTCAGCTCTGGAAGGGTCTAGAGCCTCCATTTTTGCACTCAGGTCAAAGTCTCACAACCCTCTATCATAATCCAGAGTTTTGAAAAGATTGGAGAAACTTAATTTTTCGGCCGAAAACGAAAAAAAAACGAAAGGGGCAACACTGTCGTTTTTTTTTTCGGTCGAAATTTTGAATTTTGATATCTCAGCTCTGGAAGGGTCTAGAGCCTCCATTTTTGCACTCAGGTCAAAGTCTCACAGCCCTCTATCATAATCCAGAGTTTTGAGAAGATTGGAGAAACTTAATTTTTCGCCCAAAAATGAACAAAAACGAAAGGGGTAACACTGTCGGGTTTTTTTCGGGTCGAAATTTTGAATTTCGATATCTCAGCTCTAGAAGGGTCTAGAGCCTCCATTTTTGCACTCAGGTCAAAGTCTCACAGCCCTCTATCATAATCCAGAGTTTTGAGAAGATTGGAGAAACTTAATTTTTTGCCCGAAAATGAAAAAAAACGAAAGGGGTAACACTGTTGTTTTTTTTTTCGGGTCGAAATTTTGAATTTCGATATCTCAGCTCTGGAAGGGTCTAGATCATCCATTTATTTTTGCACTCAGGTCAAAGTCTCACAGCCCTTTATCATAATCCAGAGTTTTGTGAAGATTGGAGAAACTTAATTTTTCGCCCAAAAATGAAAAAAAACAAAAGGGGTAACACTGTCGTTTTTTTTTCGGGTCGAAATTTTGAATTTCGATATCTCAGCTCTGGAAGGGTCTAGATCATCCATTTTTGCACTCAGGTCAAAGTCTCACAGCCCTCTATCATAATCCAGAGTTTTGAGAAGATTGGAGAAACTTAATTTTTCGCCCGAAAACGAAAAAAAAACAAAAGGGGTAACACTGTCGTTTTTTTTTCGGGTCGAAATTTTGAATTTCGATATCTCAGCTCTGGAAGGGTCTAGATCATCCATTTTTGCACTTAGGTCAAAGTCTCGTGGCCCTCTATCAGAATCCAGAGTTTTGAGAAGATTGGAGAAACTTAATTTTTTGCCCGAAAATGAAAAAAAAGAAAGGGGTAACACTGTCGTTTTTTTTTCGGGTCGAAATTTTGAATTTCGATATCTCAGCTCTGGAAGGGTCTAGATCATCCATTTTTGCACTCAGGTCAAAGTCTCACAGCCCTCTATCATAATCCAGAGTTTTGAGAAGATTGGAGAAACTTAATTTTTCGCCCGAAAATGAAAAAAAACAAAAGGGGTAACACTGTCGTTTTTTTTTTTCGGGTCGAAATTTTGAATTTCGATATCTCAGCTCTGGAAGTGTCTAGAGTCTCCATTTTTGCACTCAGGTCAAAGTCTCGTGGCCCTCTATCAGAATCCAGAGTTTTGAGAAGATTGGAGAAGCTTAATTTTTCGCCCAAAAACGAAAAAAACGAAAGGGGTAACACTGTCGTTTTTTTTTTTCAGGTCAAAATTTTGAATTTTGATATCTCAGCTCTGGAAGTGTCTAGATCATCCATTTTTGCACTCAGGTCAAAGTCTCACAGCCCTCTATCATAATCCAGAGTTTTGAGAAGATTGGAGAAACTTAATTTTTTGCCCGAAAATGAAAAAAAAAACAAAAGGGGTAACACTGTCGTTTTTTTTTCGGGTCCCTCAGCTCTGGAAGTGTCTAGAGTCTCCATTTTTGCACTCAGGTCAAAGTCTCGTGGCCCTCTATCACAATCCAGAGTTTTGAGAAGATTGGAGAAGCTTAATTTTTCGCCCAAAAACGAAAAAAAACGAAAGGGGTAACACTGTCGTTTTTTTTTTTTTTTTCCAGGTCAAAATTTAGAATTTTGATATCTCAGCTCTGGAAGGGTCTAGATCATCCATTTTTGCACTCAGGTCAAAGTCTCACAGCCCTCTATCATAATCCAGAGTTTTGAGAAGATTGGAGAAACTTAATTTTTTGCCCGAAAATGAAAAAATTGAAAGGGGTAACACTGTCGTTTTTTTTTCAGGTCAAAATTTTGAATTTTGATATCTCAGCTCTGGAAGGGTCTAGATCATCCATTTTTGCACTCAGGTCAAAGTCTCACAGCCCTCTATAATAATCCAGAGTTTTGAGAAGATTGGAGAAACTTAATTTTTCGCCCGAAAATGAAAAAAAACGAAAGGGGTAACACTGTCGTTTTTTTTTTTTTTTCAGGTCAAAATTTTTAATTTTGATATCTCAGCTCTGGAAGGGTCTAGATCATCCATTTTTGCACTCAGGTCAAAGTCTCACAGCCCTCTATCATAATCCAGTTTTGAGAAGATTGGAGAAACTTAATTTTTTGCCCGAAAATGAAAAAAACGAAAGGGGTAACACTGTCGTTTTTTTTTTTCAGGTCAAAATTTTGAATTTTGATATCTCAGCTCTGGAAGGGTCTAGATCATCCATTTTTGCACTCAGGTCAAAGTCTCGCAGCCCTCTATCATAATCCAGAGTTTTGAGAAGATTGGAGAAACTTAATTTTTCGCCCGAAAATGAAAAAAAACGAAAGGGGTAACACTGTCGGTTTTTTTTTTTGGTCGAAATTTTGAATTTCGATATCTCAGCTCTGGAAGGGTCTAGATCATCCATTTTTGCACTCAGGTCAAAGTCTCACAGCCCTCTATCATAATCCAGAGTTTTGAGAAGATAGGAGAAACTTAATTTTTTGCCCGAAAATGAAAAAAAACGAAAGGGGTAACACTGTCGTTTTTTTTTCGGGTCGAAATTTTGAATTTCGATATCTCAGCTCTGGAAGGGTCTAGAGCAGAGGTCTCAAACTCGCGGCCCGCGGGCCATATGCGGCCCGCGGGATGATATTTTGTGGCCCCCTACTTGATATTAAAGTTTAATGTTAGTGCGGCCCGCCGTTGCGTTTGCCGCGTTTTTTTTAATTATTATTATTTTTATCCCTTATGGGCTACCATATGTAGTCTCGTGACAGCTTACCGTAGGTTTGTTGTCAATAGTTGTCATAGACAACCACGAAGTACATATACTGCGCCTGGAAAAAAATGAGTGCGTCGCTTCAATTATGAGCGCGCTCGGCGCTTGATGCGCGCCTATTTGAAACCTACTTGAGCGTGCAAAATATGTGAGCGTGATATGTGAACAGGCATAAGGCGAGCTACCACCACCAAATCAGGCCACAGCTACTGATAGCTCGCGAGCGAAGTGTTGGATATCCCTTCTCTAAAACAATGAATGTGAGAATAATCATTTTGAGCTTGTAAGTTTTTAAAGCACTTGTGTTGTGTCTGAACGCGTTCAATGACGATAGTTCATAAACTCGTTCATATTTTGGGCGAACGTGAACTGAACGTAACCTACTGTATTACTGCCTGATGAACGTTACAGTGAACTCGTTCATTCAAGTGTTTGTGAACCGAGGAGCGAGGAGGCGTCGAAAGATCATTTAAAAAAGGGTTTTATGAGGTCGGCGAGGATGGGAAAATCTTACATGTCTGTGCAAACTCTGCCCGTCGACAAAATGATTGTTATCTGTGGTTGTATATGGGCTGTGGCAATAATAATAGCTTAATAATAAAAAAGAAGCTCGCAGCAACATATGGAAAAAAGAACTAGTTCATTTTAAAATTTGTGAATTGAACTTTGAACTAGTTCATGTAATGAACTTGGTCCAACAGGTTGATAAGAAGGTTTGCTTTGATATGTGCAAAGTCAGTAATTTGCCTCAGA